ATTGCAGCAGCCGCAGGGGCCGGCCCCGCGCCGGCCGCCAGCCTCCGCCCCGCCGCCATCTTGTCCGGCCTCGCGGCGCGGCCTCGCCGGCTCCGTGCCGCCCGCGGCTTCCCCCGCCGGGCAGGGCAGAGGCACGGCGCCGGGATGTGCCCGAGCTGTCCGCTGGTGTGCTGCTCTGCAGCTCAGGAGCAGCGAAGGGAGTAGGAAATGCGTCACATTACCAGAGGACAGGCAGACAAACGAAAACGGCAGCCGTAGATAGTAATTTAAAAGTACACTTACATGACTTTTTAAACATTTAGACTTAGAAATGATCCTTAGAATGAATGAGTGGCGTCTCAGGAGCGATCTTGAGGAAGATGCCGGGAAGAGCCAGCGTGGCCAATAATGGAGCCAGCAGAGCAGTAATCTCGAGCACCTCATTCACACAGAGCTGACTCTTAAATTTGCCGTGCCCTGCCTGTCTGTTGTGAAAAGCCTTACAGCCCCTGCTCCTCAGGCTACCCAGGCCCTCTGTTCATCTGCCTTCCCTTTTCTGTCCCAGGACAATGATGTTGCCTCTGTAGTCTTCAGGCAAGCTTGGTTCCTACTGCAGATGGTGTGCTTTGGCCAAACCTCAACTGCTGGATTTCGTGGGACTGGGAAGTTCGCAGATTGTCAAGCTAGAATGTGTAGCACTCCGAGTCTTGCGCAAAAATTTGTTCACCTCCAACGTTTTCCTCCTTCAGTCATTTGTTTCTTCCTTTGTTTTTTCCTCTGGCTTATTTTTTTCTCTAGATCATCAGATTTCTTCATGTAGCTGCTTTCTACACATAAAAAACAATGTGCTGAGTAAGTAAAACTGTGGTACTTGAGTTACCTTCATCAGACTGCTCACTGGGCTTGTTTTTTCAGCATTTTATCCTCTTTACTCAGACTGTAGCACTACCAGGCAGGAATAGTCTAAAGTGCCAGTGATGTTGAGTAAGGCTTATTGTGAATCAAAATTATAGTTTCTGTTCCATAAGTTCCGTGGCAAATCCCTAATCATTCAGTTTGATTCTTCAACTACGCACTAGAAATAATACTATTTTTCCCTTTTTAGAGGTATTCAAAAAGCAAGTTCTATGTGGCTCTGCTTGAGCAGGGGGTTGGACAAGATGACCACCAGATGTTCTTTCCAACCTCAGCTGCTTTGCAATTCTGTGATTACTACAGAAGGTACTAAGTGAAGAACTGATTAGCATTTGGATATTGCATGGGTAGAGGCCATAGGCATATTAGGCAAGCAGAAGGAAGTATTGAACTCAAAATAGTAAGAAAACCAACAAAAAGCCCAAGGAGAATGGGCAGTTGAAGACTTGACAGCAAGGAAAAATCTGCTGACCCCTCTACCTTTCACCAGATAGATACCTAAGAAGCTAGGATTCTTGGTCCTGCAGAGGTTGAGTTTCAAGAACAATAAGCACGTGATAAGTGTGAATGGTAAAGATTAATGGTAAAGATTAAACCAGAGCTTTGGAAATGGCTTGGCAAGCTGGCACGTCCAGCATTCCTCTACTGAGCGTAGCAAAGAAGCATAGGTTAAAAAAAAAAAGTGGTACAATCAGTAAGTGGCACAGCAGTGGACCATTTCGGTTTTTTAAATGTTGTCACATGGTTTTTAAAGAGGCATTCTCTGTTGTGTAACACTGTGCAAAGCTGTGGTGTTCCCAAAGATTTGCTTGGAGGCAGGTCTGCGTACACCTGTCTGTTAATGGATGGTTGCACAGTGTAATGTAGGTGCACTCATCCTCCACGAAGACAGTGGAGGAAAAACTCCACTGAGGCATATCTGGGGTGTGTTTTCTGTTTGGAAGTCTTTCTGAGAGACTTTCTGACCTCTGTTGACCAAGAGGTTTGGGGGTTTTTGGTTGTGATTGACATAAGAGAGCAGAGCTTCTGTCCGGGTGTGTTACTTGACTTTGAGCAGTTATCTACTACAAAGTCAATGTGATGTGAACATGGTAACCAGGGGGCCACTGGAAGTGGCCTTCTTCTCTTTGTTCAGGTTGAGCACAACATAACTGGGTGGACAAGTCCCCTGTCCAACAGTTCAGAGCTTTTTAAAGCATTTGATGAGAAGGAGGGTATAACTGGGCTATTCTTGAAAAGAATAATTTTTTAATGCAGCAATTCCATTTTTCATTTTACCATATAAATGCTTCATTTGAGACTTTTACCTTTATAATGACTTGACTTGGAAATTGCTCACAAGTTCCCTAAAATAGCTTTATCCACTGTTTGTCTTTAGTGTATTTAAGGAAGGATATATCTTCTGATGAATTTGCAATATGTGGGGCCTTACTGCAAACTGAGATACTTTTTGTATGCTTTGACTTGATCGGGAAATACACATGAAAGATGACTGTGACTTTCAGCTTTACCTGTTTTCCCTCGTGTCTGTACATGTGGCACCTTGCAGACACCCTGCCATTAGGATGATGATTGAAGTCTGCACCTTGCTTGCCCATTTACGTTGAATTTTGCCACAGCCAGAGTTGAGTGAAATCTGAACGTGGTTTTAATGCTTGTAACCTTTCACACTTTGGAAGTATGAACAAGCTGCTACATTCCTTCTTCCTCAGGTCTTCTGCAAAATCCATGTCTGTTTATTTGGAGTTATTTGAGTGATGGTGAGGCATTACAAAAATGTTTAAACAACTGTCTACAACATGTGACATGATGCTTACCTCTTTCCTCACTGTCCTGTGACTTGCACTCAGTGAAGTATTTTCTTTTCCCTAGACACTGCTGACACCTGGCTACAGTAATATGCCAATTCCCAGTATCCACCATTAAAACTAATGAACTGTTGGAGCCTAGATAGATCATTTCAGTCATTACAAATAAAGATTAAAAAGGCTTAACTGAGTGTAAGGCTCATTTTTACAATACTGCAGTAGATGTGTTATCAGGAGACCTTTAAGTTGAGATTTCAGTATACTTCAAAGGCTTCCTGTAACAGCTGGCAGGATTATTAATAGCTGCCACTGCTGATTTAGGTAGAGTATGTTTTCTTGGGGGATTTTAACTAACGAGTCGTCATTTTGTTCACCATAGTTTTTATTTGTTTTGCTTTGAAAGAAAGAAGTTTCTATTCACTAGACAGTGTGCCTGGGTTTAACAGCTCAAAAGAGCAACCTACAGATTCTGGAATGTAAGGATAGGATCCTCAACTGGGATTTCACCCTGACTTCAGTGAGTGCACACTGGCCACCATCACCTAGTGATCCGGCTGCTGAAGCTCACAGGCCAGTGTTACTGAATAGATAATGGCTTGGATGTTCGTACAGAACTCTGCACAAATACACACCTGCCCCAGCTCTTCAAGCTGGAGGAGAAATCAAAATGGTTGTGTCAGGAACCATTTTTTGCAGGAACAGAGATTTTACAGGAACAAAGTAGTGGTTTGATGCTGGCTTGATGCCAAGCACCCACCAAAGCCACACTCACTCCTCTCTGCCAGTGGACAGGAGAGAAAATACAGCAAAGCATTCATGGGTTGAGGTAAGGAGAAGTCGCTAACCAAATACCATTGCAGGCAAAACAGACTGAACTTCAGGATGTTACTTGGATTACTAAAAAAATCAGAGCAGGATAATGAGGAGTAAGATAAAATCTTAAAAACTCTTCCCCATACCCCTCCCTCTTTTCCAAGCTCTACTTCCTACCTGTGCAGGAAGACAGGAAATAGGGGTTACAGCCAGTTCATCACAAGTTGTACCTGCCACTGTACAGGGAGAGGGGTCCTTCCTTTGCTCCATTGTGGGGTCCCTCCCACAGGAGACAGTTCTCCACAAACGTCTCCAATGTGAGTCCATCCTACAGGCAGCGGTTCTCCATTAACTGCTCCAACACGGGTCCCTTTTCACAGGGTGCAGTCCTTCAGGCACAGTCTGCTCCAGTGTGGGTCCTCCACAGAGACACAAGTCCTGCCAGGAAACCTGCTCTAGCAGGATCACTTCTCTGAGTTCATGGGTCCCTGCCAGGACTGTGATCCAACAAGTTTCACAGACTCCTTTCAGGTGTTCACCTGCCCTGATGAAGGACTCCTCCCGGGGCTGCAGTTGGATCTCTACTCCACCATGGGTCTCCATGGGCTGCAGGGGCACAGTTGCTCCACCATGGCCTGCACCACGGGCTGCAGGGGAATCCCGAGTCTGGTGCCTGGATTCTTCTCCACTGACCTTGGTGTGTGCACAGTTGTTCCTCTCACACATTCTCACTCAGATACATCTGCACAATCTTTCCTTTTTAAGTCTGTTGTTGGAGAGACCTTACCATCATTTCTGATTGGCCCAGCCTTGGCCAGCTGTGGGCCCATCTCTGAGCCAGCTGGCACTGGCTTTGTCAGACACGGTGGAAGCTTCTGGTGGTTTCTCATAGCAGCCACCTCTGTTAGCTCCCCTGCTACCAAAGTCTGTCCATGCAAACTGAACACAGTATTAGTATAGAAGTCTGCACACATATACATATGCCCCAACTCTTCAAGCTGGAGGAGAAATTTCACAGAATCACAGAATACTCTGAGTTGCAAGGGACCCAAGAATTATCAAGTCCAGCTCTTAAGTGAATGGTTTACCATTCACTGGTAGACCATTCACTTAAGGGGGGATCAAACCCCCAACTTTGGCATTATTGGCATCATGCTCTAGTGAACTGAGCTAATCTCATTTTGTGACTTAAAATTGTTATGTCAGACTTTGCAGGAGCATGATCCCAAACTGAAAAAAAGGTGTTCTTGTTTGGCAGTACCATCCTCCTGCCAAATGCATGTTACACTACTGCAGTTAGCCAAGGAAGATCTTTCTGTTGTCATTGATTTAGATCCCCTATGTTTGCTCACCTAAATAAAGCATTTACTGGCTGTTTGTATTAAGCATTTTGTTGAATC